CCTGGATTATCCTGGCTTAAAGCAACCTTATGGGTTCTGTCTCACCATCAGCAGTGAGGGAAATGGCACAGCTCCCAGCCACGTCCCCTGAGAGCAGGGTGCGCATGGTTCTTTGTAGCATTTTCATAGCCTGCTGTGTGTGATACACCTACTGGAGCTGGGGAGGCCCTTCATTAAGGAAAAGTACAATGAAATCAAATGAGTAAGCAGGAATAATCCAAGCCAATACTGCAGGTTTTGTTGACTTTGCTGGTGTGAAATGGTCACAGTTTACTATTACCCACAGAGAAGTGTCTCCGTTCTAGTGAGATATTTGTATGAAGCTGTTAAAGTGAGTGTTCAGGGCCAGCTCCTTATTCATCAGTCTAGCTAGAAAAACACACCATTGTTGGACATGAACCCAGGAGCTAGTTCCCAAGAAGAAACTAAAAGTGCTCATTTTGATAGAAAGTGCAGTGCCACGGAGCCTCCTGAAATGAACAGTTAAAACATTTTGCTCATTTAGTTATATGCATTCATAGCGCTAAAAACAGCCTTGTGCAATATTCCACAAGCTTTTTCTCACCTATGTTATCCTGATGCATAGTGACTTGCCAGCTCCAAGGGCTAGATGGCAGCTGATCAGAGAGGGGAGCCCAGGGGGCCACTCTTAGCTTTATGCACATCCGGCGAGTAATTTGTTACTGCTCCATTCCAGAGTTTGTAGCACCTAGAACAGTGCCGGATGCAATGCAGCCACCATGGCAACAGAAGCTGTGCAGATACAAACCAAGGTCAAGACGCATTGCTCCATTGAAGCCTCCATTTCCCAAATGCAACATGTGTCTCAAACCACCAAAATTGTCAAAGGCAAGTAGCATTCTTGTCCTTGACATCTAACACTGTCTTTTTGGGTGACTAGAGCATAAATGGGACCAAAAGAAGGTGTTGCTGTCCTGTGTAAAATTTGTCCTGAATGATATGGGGGTGGAAGGTTTGTCTTAACCCCACAGGGCATAAGCAGGACTCAGCAGCTTAGTACAGAATGGAGTCAAACCTAATGGTACTTTTGATGCACAAAGTTTTGAGACCTTTCTTGAATGAACTCCAACATCATAGCACCAAAGCAGCTTGCAGCACCCCCGTGCAACAAGGCCGCCTAGTTTTCGCATCATGTAGGTGACAAGACTGAGGCACAGAGAAAGCAAATTACTTGTCCAGAGTTCTGCGTGTAGACTGGAAAGAAGCAAGGAATTGATCAGTAGTCTCTTTGGGCAGCTAGCACTTTATCCGCTGCACAAATCTTGTCCCAAGGATTTAAACTCATCAGGGCAATTCTCTGTATGACTGTATGTTTCAGGGCTTTTTTTTATATCTACTCTTTTCCTCTCCCAGTAAAAAAGCACCCCTCTGTGCTGCTAGACTAACCAGTCTTTTTCCCAACAGCAGTTGTTTCTAGGAAGGCTTTGCCCTGTTGGAGTGCCTTAACGTGGTGACATGCTCCTTTGGAATACCTGCTGGAGAAAACATCCCTGATTTACCTCATCAACTAACAGCACCCGAGAGTGAGAAACAACCATATGTGGTGAAAGCCAATAACTGACTACATTTTCAAATGTGTCTAGGCATATTCACCCATCTCAGGCAAGTAAAAATGGTCTTCCCCCTTCTGCAGTTGGAGCAGTGGTAGGTAAAAGCGGGGGCAAACCCCAGTTACCTGTAACCATCCTCGCTGTTTTTAGAGATTTGTCTTGTGCCAGTCAAAATCAACAGGAAAGCTCCTGTACATTTTAGCTGCTGGAGACTGGTCCTTGCTGATCCAAATATAGCAGTCCTTGTTTATGCAAAACTCCTGATGGAATGATTTGACTGAAGCTGGAATAATATGACCTTTAATGCATTAGTAAGAAAGCTCTCCCATCGTATGTAAGCTCTCCCATATTGAGAGATCTGGAACTGTCTAACGTGACAGAAAGATCATATGAATCTCCATTATGTATCATTAAAAAATCACAAATCCTCCTTTATGGTGTGCAGAGCACATTTAATGAACAAATTTTATTCCCAGAGTGATATCCGTGATGGAAGTAAGTGGCAATAATTACAGTAAGTAAATAAAGTAAGGTCAATATCTCCTTTATAAAGCAGACAGGAAAAGAAACTGTGCATTTAAAATAATCCTAAGTAGAGAAAGCAGACAACAGCCCCTCGTTCCTTTTCATTCATTTATTTGTTCCAATGTTTCTTCTTGAATTTTAGGAGATAAAGCAATATTCCAAGCTAAAAGTGAAAGGTAACCCAAAGCTTAATGTAACATGGTAAAGAGAGGGTGAGATACCAGTAAAAGTAGGATCCAAATGTTTTCTAACAGTATCAATAAGGAGCATGTGCTAAAGGTAACACACCTTTTTTTCTTGCCGTTAGCTCATAATTTGTTATTCCCACAATAAAAACTGTAAAAAAGAAAAACTTAAGCACTATAGTATTCCTCAGCAGCAAAAAAAACATTCCAGTTTGCGTAGTACTGCACTTTCAAATACTGTTGTGTGTTTGCAGGGTGGCATTTCCGTTCAACTGAAAAGAATCAGGGTATTCTCTTTGTTATTTGGTTTTACAGCATTTAGCATAGCAAGGCCCTAACGCCTCTTGTGTGCCATTCAAATAAAAATAATGCTAAATCTTGATAATTCATAGTGTTACTCAGGACATATGTGCCAGTTCAGCCCTGTTTAATCTGTGAAGTCCCATGGCTACAAAAGTTCTGCCCTTACCTTCTTTCTTCCGTTCTGTTCCTCGTTTCCCATGCTGTGTCCCCTTTGCCTCCTCTCTCCTTAGTTCTTACGCCACTCTAATTCACCTCTTCTCTCAGGCAGTCCTTTGTTTAGAAGTCTGCTGGCCAGCGCTGGTCAAACTGCCTTTTTCTTCTCCTACAAATCTCCAGAGCCTCAAGTCCAACAGCTTCCATACAACTTCTTCTGGACTCTGTGTTACTTACGTAGTTCAGAAGTGATACTCACTTTCAGTGCAGAATACCAAAATAAAAGGATGCCTTGGGGAAGAAATGTGGCTTTGTTTTGCTATCTTAGGCCAAGAATGGACCTGATCCGAAATACATCACTGTCATGGGAATACTTCTGTTTGTTTCTGGGGCTTTGGAGAAGGCTGTGAAGGATCTTTAGGGCGGAGGGAATGAGGACAGGGCCTCCAGTATTTGCCCTCAGAGATTCTGGGTTTTCAAAGGTGTAATTCTGTTAATGAATGAAAAAAATACTGATTTAAACAAATAAAAGGGTGATTTCACTAATATATTTGTCCCCTTAACCTATCTGGAGCTTTTGCTGGTTACTTTGTCTATGTTTTCTTTTTTCTTTCCAGCTTGAATGCCTCTCCTCATATGATGCTGATAACTACAAGTGCATAGTGTCCAATACCCATGCTCATGCCATCTACACAGTATCCCTGATCGTGACAGAAAGTAGGTGTCAGAGGTCGGGCTTAATTACTGACTAGACTAGTTATTAACAACGAGGCTTGGAAGGTTAGACAAAATGGACTATCTGTGCAGGGCAGGTCTGCTGCAACTGGAGCAGCGTAAAAAAATCTACCTTTTCCATCCAGTGTGGTGCATGTGCTCTGTTTCACATGCCATAATACCAGCTGCCCATTGCTCAGTTGGCAGATCTTCCCTCTTTGCAAATTGCAGAGAAAGACTGGGGTCTGCATTTAAATTAGATTCCTTACTTTCTTTGGGGCCCCATTTGTAGCCCATGAAGAAGATCAGTGGAAGTTAGAACATTTGAATCTATAGGGCATGAGGGTGTAAATAACTTGTTGCAGGTCATACTAGGAGTATGGGAAGTCACTAAATTACCTTTGCATTTTTCACCAGGTGAAGAAAAGTTGGATTTCAAAAAAATGCCTAAGAAAAGGTGACTGTTTCTTGGGTTATGTCAGGAGAGTGAGCTAATTCTAAGTCCTCGTTTTTCAGAGCAGATTCATACTTTTGGCACCAATAGCAGAGACCACTGCTGCTGACTGTCAATTTTGCAGTGCTATAGGCAGCCTCAATCCCAAAATCAGCCTTCATTTTCCCTTAGCGTTAGCACCACAGCAAATTCCCAGCCTGTTTGTCTGGCAGACAGGATGGGGGAAAGGGATTCTGTGATCCCCTTTCCCAGAAATGACCTCTTGAGGGGAGGCTTTGGAAAGGCTGACCATGTTCTCGGTAGCTAGCAGAGCTTGTTTGGAACTGTATGGATGTTCCTTCCAAGAGGGGCCCAGTTATGTCCAAAGCTGTAGAAAGGAGAGTTGCTTACTTTGAAATACAGTGCAAATTACCTGTGAGATGTATATGCGCAGGGGACCTCCAGCTCCAAAGAAGAACATAAAGAAGGTAGTTGATGAGAATGAAATGTTGGATATCCTTTCCAAAGTGCCAAAGAAGGACTTTGAGAAGATCTGCATTGGGAATGGCTTCAGTGATTTCCTTGTGCTTCTCAAAAAGTCGAAAGAGCTGAAGAAGAAAGTGAAGACTGAGGTTGGTGAGACTGTCCACTTTCAGGACACTTTGAACATACATTTTCATTTACACTTTTTGCTTTTCTGTCCCCACTGAATAACTATCCTCTACATAAAAGCACACAACAGGTGACAGCCTACTGTGTGTGTCACAGTTCCCAAGGGTTTTGACAGAGATGAAAGATCACATCCACAAAGACAGTTTGCAGGGGAGGCAGTTCAACATCCCAAATACAGTACACACCAATGCTTTTGCAGCTGGACTTTCCAAGTGAGATTTTCAAAGGCGCATGAAGGAATTGGGACAGATCTCAGTGAAGTAAAAATGTCTTTAGAACCTCTCTGCAAATAATGCCTGTAGGAAGAATTCTCACCATAGATTAAATCTGTATCAGGTCAGGTTTGTCCTGCCTGACTGTACTGTTACTGTTTGCTGTTTTAGAGTAGAATCCTGATATTTTAGCCAAGCTATTCAGTCCAGTAGGCATTGCTTTGGACAAGCAATGATAAGAGCTATTCCCTTTCCAGGAATTTTACAGTCCAAATAAGTGAGGCAAACAAAGAACATACTAATATTTGTATTCTGCGGATGGATAACTGATAAGAAAGATTCAGTAGCTTGTCCCAGAATACAGCAGTAGATTCACCATGTCAGGAAGTGAACCAAATCTCTAAAATCCCCAGTATTCCTCTTATGTTTCCCAAAAGCAGAATTTCTGAAATATCTAGAATACAGTGACAGTATTGCATTTGAATATCAAAAATGGCAAGGATGGTGAACATAGGCAATATTAACACAAATTGATGATATTAATTGGGATGAATAAGTCTGTCTAGTGGGAACTGTGAGATAGTGCATGGATTTTTGATTTATTCTTCACTAAATGGCCTTGCAGGCAGGCAGAATTCTGAAGCCCCTTGAGGCTGTTGCAGCTGAAGTGGATACCACTGCTGTGTTTAATGCCATTCTGAAGCTGAAGGACCCCAATGTTAAAATGACCTGGTATAAGGTAGCTTCCCTCATTTCTCTTTGTTTGAGTGAAAAAGGGCAGTGGAAATAAGAGCCAGTCTATCTGCATGAATTAAGAATAATCTTGTACTGTACCTTAGTGGGTGAAGACTATCTGAGTGGACATGATCCAACAGGAGGGCTGAAGAATTAGCACTCATTTGTCCTGATAAAAGACACAAGGCATTAGGTAGCTGAAAAGAAATCCCTTCAACTCCTAGTCCCTTCATTTATGATTATGATTTAACCCTTTATCCATTTCATTCCCATGATTTATCCATTTGCCATTTCAAACTGCTAGTGCTTTCTTGAATTCTGTCCGTGTATCATGATAGGCCTAATCCATTTGTTTGGATATGATCTGTGCAAAATCACAGTGCACTCAATATCCGAGTGAGAACTAAAGCTAAAACAAGATACTAGATTCTGGAACATTTTCTCATATTGAAAGGGAATATTATTTTGGAAGTCATTCTACTCTTCCATTTAAGACTGTAATTGAAATAAAGCACATAGGAATACTGCAGCCAGGATCCGATCCAGAGAAAGGACTGTCATATGAGACGCCTTTTAAATGCTTTTGACCAGGATAACCTTGTAATATACAGGATACCTGTCAGGCTGCTGGATAGGTGTACAGCTATACTGGAGACTTTTTCAGTCTCTGTCAGGCTGACTAGCCTCAGCAAAGCATCATTGCTGAAAATGGTTTGTTGATTTCCTACCAAAAAGGAGACAAATAAGATTAAACTGTTCACCATGCTAAACTCCTGCTGGCTTTACATGTCCTTTAAATTGAGCACTATGTGTCTTGCCTTCTATGTCCCCTGTGCAAAAGAAGCATGTTTTCAAAGGTGCAAGTATTCTGCTTACTAGGGGAAAGAGCCTTTGTGTTCCATGTATTCCCTGGGAAAATATGATACGAAGCAGATCGGTAAGAACTATATGCTGTACATCGCCAACATGAATGAAAAAGACCTGGGCACCTACAGTCATCTTGTGGCTGACAAGAAACTGTCTGCTGTGCTGAGAGTGATACGTAGCATTTGTTTCGGGATATTTGAGGTTCTGTGTAGCATGACAAAGTCTACAGACAACAATTTGAGGGTCAAAATTGGTGGGCCAAGCTGCGACCGACTTTCTTTTCTTACATATCTTTGCAACATTCATGACTCACTGGCCTCCTTAGGCTCAAACAGAAATCTAGCGTTGTGCAAGTCATAAACCCACCCACAGGGCACCCATGTGAAAACACCTTTCATGAGATAGCAGATTTCAGTTTGAAGCCTGGTTATTACACATAATAAGTCAAATTCCCCACTGACATCAGTGTGGCAGGGCTCTGAGTCGCTACTGAATTTGGATCAGTTTTAATGGAAAAAATAGGAATGATAAAATGTACGTTGGCACTGTCCTTTTAGTAGAAGTGAGCTTTGATTAAACAGTGTTACAGGACGTGGAGGTGAGTGGATGGGCCTGGACTTAATGAAACCCATGTTTTCTCTACTGCACATGCTTTCTGTAACTAACCAAGCGTGTGCTGTTTGAAATTGCTGTTTGAAAGAGAATCAGCCACATTACATACAGCAAACTTGCTTTAAGTCAGTGGTAAGTAGAAGTGATGCTACCCATCTGCCTTCCAACTTTTACTGCAGTAGGCCCAACTTTTAAAGATGAGCATTTCCAACAGTACCATTTTTCAGTATAACGCTTACCTTTTGGGCTAGCTGGGGTTGGACGGAGTGTTTAGTAGATTGGTGATGTGGTAGATTGCTTTACTTAAGCCAGGGAGTGATCCTGTGCCAGGCACTGCAGCTCTCTTGACAGAAAGATGTCTCTTTTTCTTTCTGCTTGCCAGATGGTTCCAGGTATGCTTGTAGATCTCATCTGCAATTGCTTGAAGCCATTTACTTTACAATGACCTAGAGTAAGGAGAGGGAAAAAAATAGCACTAAGGCAGAAGAACTGAATGGAAAAATGGGATGTCTATTGGTAATCAGCTTTGTAGGACTACTTGCAGCTTTGACTGAACATTATGAGCTGTAGTTAGCTCAGTTTCCTATGAAGTTGAAGGGACGAATTGATCTCTCTCTTCTGCCACTGAGGAAATAAATCAATATGACTTCACTGAAGTGTTGC